ATCTACTTAACACAGACGGCACGTTCCTCAAAATGTAATTTATGCAGGTCTGGAAACCAATCTTCCTGGGAAAACTACTTTTCTACCTTTTGTTGTACATCTCCATAATCCCAAACTATGAAACTACTAAGGCTCAGTAACCACTTCCAATCACTATTATTGGGCCAGGATCTACCCTTACAAATAAACTCCTCACTTTGCTTTGTCAGTCCTTCTCTCCCCTAAAACCACAATTATTGCTATTCAGTATTATTGACAGATGAAACAGAAAGAGGCTAGCTTACATGTGTGCAAACTAGTTCACATTCTAAAAATCCAGGGGCCATAGCAACATGTATTGTAAGACATCAGGAATGTTGCTTATTTTATTTTTTTAATTTTTAAAATGTTTTTATATTTTAATTTTTGAGTGAGAGAGAGAGACAGAGAGAGAGAGACAGAGACAAAGCTTGAGCAGGGGAGGGGCACAGAGAGAAGGAGACACAGAATCTGAAACAAGCTCCATGCTCCAAGCTATCAGCACAGAGCCCCACACAGGGCTTCAACCAGTGAACTACGGGATCATGACCTGAGCTATAGTTGGACGCTTAACTGACTGAGCCACCCAGATGCCCTAGAATGCTGCTTATTTTAAATATCTACTTCTACTCCACTGGCTTACCAGACCTCTTGCAATGTTACCAATTACAAAAATCTAACTTTCAGGTTATGCTTTTGTATTTCCAGGTTTGCCATATTAAAATGCAAATAGCCATAGAAAGATAATAGACGAAATCTCTGACACATTAGATTGCTTTCCATTAAAATACCAAACAGAGAACAGATCCATACAAGAACAGGACAGATAAGTACTGGTAAAAAGGGCTAAGGAAAAGTATGGTTTACCAAGCATTGCCTAAAAGAAAACTCCTGAGTGAATTCTTGCCCTGGGGAACACAGGGCATTCAGAGAAGAGCATGAAAGCTCTAGGACCTAGGAAAAATGGAAAAGGAAATATTGGTAGAAGAAAACTGAAAAAGGAGAGCTCAAAACAAATTAACCACTTCACAATTTGGTTTGAGGCTGGCTGGACTGTTCAACTCCCAAAGGGCATAATTCCAGAGTCGCAGCACAGTATGAAGCAATCCTGAATACCAGCTCTATCTTGGGTTCCAGAAAGTCTGGGAAAAGCAGGAAAACAATCTCTTAGATGAGTGATTGCCAATGGAATATATCACATATGGCATAGGAGATTTCTAAACCTTTCTGTCCCTCCACCCACATTCCTAACTCCACCCCAAACCAGGTGAAAACTGAAGGGGGAGGAGAGGTGTGTAGAGAGAAAAGTGTACACATGTAGTCTGTAGCCTGCAGATGTTCCTCAAATGATCCAAATGGTAATGCCATGTATTCCTACTCTATGGTGACATGCTTCCTCTGCCATCTGACTAATTAGATCCCACTTCCACCAATGTGATTGGTGAATCGGTTTTACGAACTCTTTTGAACTGATACATGATTTTGCTTGCCACCTAGTGGAGATAAAATTAATCACAAGCTGAACTGAGGCTAAGTAATCTAAAAGTATCCAATAGTTGTTTGCTATACTCTGACAGCCTAACATAGTTTCCCAAAGGGTGACTACATGTAAGGATTTTTAGGTGGCACAAGGATGAATGCTATCTTAACTACTTAATATTTACCACAATGCACGTTAGAATAAAGTATAAACAATACTTAAAGCACATGATTTCACAAACATGCAAAGATGAGGGTAAATTAAGCCTAATTTTAAAAAGTATAGATTTTAAAAATATATCTAAATTATATTACACAGGTAATACTATAATGGGACACCATCAAAACTATACAGTGACTCAAAAATGACCAATGTTTTAGAAATAGTTGTCTAAGCTGGTTCTTCTGATAGAAGATAACTTCCCTCAGTATGTCTATTTTTTATGCACATAAGTAATATAATCTTTTTATAGAAATAACAAAGTTTTTAGGTACTCCTACTTTTTTTCTCATCAAATAATAGTTTGTTTTTTTAAAGAGAAATTATTTCACAGGGAAATTATCATTCATTACTGCTAAGTCTCTATAAATATTTGCCTTCCTTAAAACATGCTTACCTATGTAGTTATCCCATGATTGTCAATAGTTGATTCTTTCTCATTTTGACAAGTTTTATTACAGAAAATATATTTCCATTTAATCTACACAGTTAAACAAATTCTCACAGAACTGTCTGAACTCCTGCCAACTTATTGCAATGGAATGCACTTTAATGACCTATGTTCTATTGTCACAGTGGTCAATTATCATAGAATTTACAGGTTTTAAGAACATCTTCAGCATTCAATAAGCATTCATGAGTTCTTGTATTCACTTGATGTTGGAATAAACAAGTGAAAATTGTGAGACTCATTTCATTATCTTCTCTGATGGCTACTATATTTCTCATAAGACAATTTTCACATTGCCATCTCTAGTTTCAAGAAAGACTGAAGAACTAAGTATCTGGATAATAGAAATAGGATTATCAAGACTAGTTTAAACCAATCCTCCTGTATCTCCTGGATTGGAACCTATTGCCACAGTCAACAAAATTAAAATCCTGTTAGCAAGGAATAGGTAGGGTGGTTGAATAGTTGTTGGGTATTTACCACACAGCATCTGCCACACCGCCCACCTCCTAACTTTCTCTCTGAGGAGGCAACCACTCTTACAGTTTACTACTTACTCTTCCAGAGTCACTTATACATATTGTATCATATACAGTTTTTTAAATTTATTTTTACCCAAACTATGGTACTCTATACACACTATTCTTCATTTTTTTGATTTAACAAAGTAAGTTGAAGACTTGTTCCATTTTAATATGTAATAAAGCCACTTCTTTCTTTTTAATGGGGGAAAAATATTCCATTGTATCATATGCCAAAATTAATTCAGTCCTGTAAAAAAAGACATTTTGATGGTTTTAAATATTTTACTATTATTATAAAATAATGCATTAAACAACCTTGTACATATATTATTTGACATCGTGAGTTCATGCTTACAAGTAGTGAAATTCCTGGGCCATATAAACTTTGGAATTGGCTGCTGGCATTTTGGGGCTGGGGGAAACACTAAATTATGGACTAAAATTAAAGAGCATGACATTGTATTATTGTATTTTAGAATCCTTCCACTGAGTGCAAATTATGCTTTTTCATTATATGTCATATTTTACCAATTCTAACATATATACATTTCTAAGATACGAATGCATCTCATAATCCCATAGACCTTTTAATCACTGTCAGCCAGGTGGCAGTCATAAAAGTAATTATTCCTGATGGTATGACAGGTAACTGTAATTCCTGGTCACTTCACTCATCAAACCATTTAAGGACCATTTAAGAAGAAATATAAGCGATGATATTGCCAGAAAACCTTTGGTGACACCTTCTGGTAAGATCAGGAAAGTGCAAGCATCAAAACTAAAAGGTGTCAGTGATTTGAAACAAAATTCTTTCAACAAATACTACATTATTAATGTTCTTTTTTTTTTTTTTAACGTTTATTTATTTTTGAGACATAGAGAGACAGAGCATGAACGGGGGAGGGTCAGAGAGAGAGGGAGACACAGAATCTGAAACAGGCTCCAGGCTCTGAGCCATCAGCACAGAGGCCGATGCGGGGCTGGAACGCATGGACGGTGAGATCATGACCTGAGCCGAAGTCGGACGCTCAACCGACTGAGCCACCCAGGCGCCCCGACATTATTAATGTTCTTAATGTTACAAAGGACAATTGTGTGTGGGAGGGGAAAAAAACCAATTCTGATGACACCAAATTATAAAACTGATCGCAAAGAATCAGATTCGAAATGTGAAGCATTAGTAATATCTTACCTGATACATTTTGCTTATATTTTCATTTTTATAATTGCATAAGAGATATATGATAAAATAACCAAAAATACAAAAATAAGCTCAAGAATTCTTTCGGTAAATTAAAAAAAAAAACATTCTCAGTCCTAAGAGACTATTACATCTGATGTACTGGTAGCAGTTTATCTTAGTATTGTATTACCGAAAAAAAAAAGAACAGTTCAACTCATAATCAGCATGTCAGATTTGAAAAAAATACTCTGAATCTTACTTTAGATCCCTCAGTAGTATTTTAAAGTTCCTATCATGCAAATTTTGCACATGTAAATATTACTCATATATTTTTTCTTTTCTTCCATTACATTTTCTTACTAGAATACTATTCATCTTTGCCTATTTTGTAAACAGCCACTTTACTGAATTCTCTATTTATAATAATTTTTCAGTGAATTCTTTTGGGCTTTCAAGGTATGCAATGAAACAAAATTTAAACTCAAATTATCTTAAACTATCTGCTGGAATTTAAACTCAGTGAAGATAAAGACTATTTAATTTTACTGTTTTATCTCCAGCACCTAGCATATTACCTTGTACAAAGCAGGTAATCAAAATATATTTGTTAAATGAATTACATAAATGCATCTCACTGTAAATCTTACCCCAACCCCTCCCACAACATAGATGGTAAGCTGAGTCAAAAAAATCGGATACAAAAGAGGAAATAGTATTCATATTTTTTCTCTCCCACATACAAACATACAGATGCTATTAAGAAACTGGATATTTTATGGGGCGCCTGGGTGGCGCAGTCGGTTAAGCGTCCGACTTCAGCCAGGTCACGATCTCGCGGTCCGTGAGTTTGAGCCCCGCGTCAGGCTCTGGGCTGATGGCTCGGAGCCTGGAGCCTGTTTCCGATTCTGTGTCTCCCTCTCTCTCTGCCCCTCCCCCATTCATGCTCTGTCTCTCTCTGTCCCAAAAATAAATAAATGTTGAAAAAAAAAAATTTAAAGAAACTGGATATTTTATATTCAAAGGACTGGATATTTTATATTCAAAGCTATACATTTTTGTTATATAATTGGATCTAGTTTAACAAAACCTTAATTGTGAAATAAATGTTTTATTTTAAACACTTACCTTTTGGATCTTAGATCTGATGAATCAAACTGGATATTCATAGGTCCAGGATTTATTTCATGATCTACTTCAGGGATGAGAAGATGCCTAGAATCACTATCCATATTTGCCATTTTTCTTAGCCTCTAAGCACAGATGAAGTCAGTCCTATATAAATCAGAATGGATAAAAAATTAAAAATTATTTTGCTACTAGTAAGTAATACATTTGCATGTATAAAGATACTGGAAAAATATAGGAGTTTGCTGATGATACCTTACTTAATGAGGTATATGCCTAAAATATTTTATCAGAAATTTGCTAAGTTGAAATGGAGTTACTGTTTATTTTTCAGATTAACTAAAAATAAGTGGAACAATCCATTTCCGGTAATAAAACAGATTAGCCTATTGGGGCCCATTTTCCTGCAGAAAGCAATTTAAATTATTGCATAAAATACAGAAAACCTCTTTTGAAAAGCATCAAAAATAATGATGAAAAACAGCTCAAGAAAATGCTTCTGTCCAGAGAGTATTTGTTGTACCAGGAGAAAAGGGACTGAGGTTTTCAAGGCCATGTGAAGTATTAGAGAAATAGAAGATAAAACCTATGATTCACCCAAAGTAAGGAATGATGTAGTAAGACACCATCCCCTCTATTTCCAATAACACAGCTGGGAGTACAAAGAGCTTTACCATCAATTTAGGGATTAACAAGCGGTAATAGTGTCTCACTCCCTCACAATGGAACTACAAACAAGATTTCTTGACACTGCCACAGGCAGTGTGTATGTGCACACGCACAAGCATGCATCTTCAGAGGGGGAAGTATTATATACCACAAACTGTGCTTCATTTGGATTTGCAAGGAGGTCAAAACACTTAAAGCTGTGAATATAAAGTTAACCTGCCTAATAGGGCTTCTAAGTAACTGCTAGAAACAAATGTAAATCTTTTCTGGGAGGACACAACTTAATCGTATGCCTCAAAGAAGACCTGCTAATAATCTTTCAAAGACAATGAACAGCACACAGTCAAAAATAACCTAGTATGCAAAGAAATAAAGGACTATTCATAAGAACCAGAATAAACAGCATAGATTCATAAAGACTTCAACTTTAGGGGTTATGAAAACAAGATCAGAAAACAATTATGCTACCTATTTTTATATATAAGACAAAGTAGATATATATACAGTGGAATATTACTCAGCTCCCCAGAAATGAAATCTTGCCATTTGCAAACACATGGTTGGATCTACAGAGAGTAATGTTAAGCAATATAAGCCAGTCTGAGGAAGAGAAATATTTTACGATATCACTCATATGTGCAATTTAAGAAACAAAATAGCAAACAAAGGGAAAAAAGTGACAAAACAAAAACAGCCTCCTTTTTAAAAATTTATTTACTTTTGAGCGACGGAGAGGGAGAGAGAAAGAGGTAGAGAGAGAGGAAGAGCGAAAATCCCAAGAAGTTCCCACACTTAGCATAAGAGCCCCATCGAGGCAGGGCTCCTTCTCAGGAACTGTGAGATCATGACCTGACGCACAATCAAGAGTCAGAGGCTTAAGTGACTGACACACCCAGTTGCCCCAGCTGACTCAACTGTAGACAACAAACAGATGGTTACCAGAGGGGAGGTGGGCAAGAGGATGGGTGAAACAGGTGATGGGAATTAAAGAATATATTTATCTTAATGAGCATTGAGTTAAATACGAAATTGTTGAATCACTATATTGTACAACTGAAACTAATACAATGCTGTAAGTTAACTATACTGGAATTAAAATTTAAAAATAAACAATAAAATAAAACAAAGAAAAAAAGAAGATTGTAAGCACAATGTCTTCCTCATCATAGAAACTAAATTCAAGAGGGTTTCTTCCTTCTATTGTCAACTTGCTATTAAGAATTTTTTATTTAAGGGGTGCCTGGGTGGCTCAGTCGGTTAAGCATCTGACTTGACTTGATCTCACCATTCGTGAGTTCCAGTCCTGCATCAGGCTCTGTGCTGACAGCTGAGAGCCTGGATGGAGCCTGCTTCAGATTCTGTGCCCCCCTCACTCTTTGCCCCTCCCCCATTCACTCTCCCTATATCAAAAATAATCATTAAAAAAAAAGTTCAAAACTAATGAACTAGAAGATAAATCGGAAGAAACTATCCAGAAGGGCAGAGAGAGAAAAAAACAGACAGAAAATGTGGAAGATGGGTTAAGAGATGTGTGAGAAAGAATAAGAAGGTCTAACATGCATGAAATTGGAGAAACAGAGAGAAAGGAAATAACAGAGGTAATATTTGAAGAGATAAAGGCTGAGAATTTTCCAGAATTCATAAAAGATAACAAGAAATTTAACAAATCCCATGCAGAACTCATAAACAATCTTATCATAAGACTGGGAAAAAAAGAATTAAAATTCCAGACCAAAGGGAAAAAGTCAAGTGGTCTCACAGTGTTCTAAGGTCCTTGTATTGTCTGGATCAACACTGTACTTTGAATGCATGTTGTAATTTTAAAGGTAACTACTAAAATAGAAAACAGTATATAACTTAAAATCTAGTAGAGTAGGAAAAGAGAATGCTAAAAAAAATTGCAGACCTAAACAAAGGCAAGAAAGAAGAAAAACATAAAAGAGGTAGGACAAGTAGAAAACAGAGAGTAGGTAAGATCTTCCCATTCTTTCTTAAACCCATGCTAATCAGGCTATCTTCCCCATCACTACACAGAAAGTGTTCTACAGTACCAATGACCTATACCCACTGGTCATTTTTTTAGTCTTTAATTTACTTGCCCTATCAGAAAAAAGTCCCATAAAGGATCACTCTCCTCCTTAATAAACTAGATTCACTAGGGCTCCAGGTTTTCTCTATATCTCACTGGTCCCTCCTCCTTCTGTCTCATTTACTATTTGCTTCTTATGTCCCAGAATTCTTAAAACTGCAGAATCCCAAGGTTTTCTTCTCTGTATGCCTTCAGTTTACAGGTAGTTACCCAATCTCATGTAACAGGACTTATGTCATATAATACAGCAGCCACTAGTCACTTGTAGCTATTTATATTAATTTAAACGGTTATTAATATTAGTATTATTAATATTAATTTATAGTAATACAGATTTATATTAATTACAATTAATTTTTTATTACAATTAAATTTTTTAAAATTCAGTATCTGAGTTACACTAACCACATTTGAAGTGCTCAATAGTCACATGTGGCTAGTGGCTACCGTATTGCACAGTGTAGCTATAAAACATTTCCATCATTGTACAAAGTTCTATTGATCTAGACAATGACCACTTCCATGTTAACATTTCTAACCAGAATTCCTTTCCTTGTATATCAGACTTGTATATCTAACTGCCTACTTAACAGGCTTTTTAAAAATTAATATAATTGACAACACTGTATTAGTTTTAGATGAATAACAATGATTTGATATATGCATACATACTTCTTAACATCTTTATTTGCATATACAGACAACTAGTATGTCCAAAACTGAACTTTTAATTTTTTCCCAAAAAACTACCCCACCCATTGTTTTCCTGATTTCAATTGATGGCATCTCCATTCTTCCAGTTAATCAGGCCAAAATCCTTCAAATTTCCCATGACTTCTTTTCTCAGTGTACATTCAATCTATTAGGAAAATAGTGTTGGCTCTCTCTTCAAGTATATCCAGGATCTGACCACCATCATTTGTTACCAAGATTTCTACAACAGTTTCCTAATGGAGCTCCCTGCTTCTACCCTTATCCCTTTACAGTCTCTGTACATAGAAGGGAGAGTTGTAGAGTGATACAGTAAGGCATTTGATCCCACCCAACTGGTTTTTATCACTGGGGGAAGTGCTATTAGACCAAGTGAGTAAATTTGGGATGCTGAACATCCTACAATGAACAAGATACCTCCTACAATAAAGAATTATCCAGCCCAAAATGTCGAAAGTTCTGACGTTGAGAAATCCTGCTCTGGGGGGTAAAAGAAGAGGTTGTGATAGGGAGGGACTACAGAGGACCTTATATGGTGATGGCAAATCCTATTGTTCAACTTGATTCTGGTTATATGGCCATTTGCTCTACAATTAGACATGTATTAAGCACTTTTCTGTACGGATGCTGTATTTCACAAACAAGCACACACACACAACAGCAAACTCCGTAAAGTGAAATAAATAGGCTTTAACATTTAAAGGCATGTGCTTTACCTTTATTCCTCAACTATAAGTTATTATGATTATTCTCACTTTATAAATAAGGATACAAGGCACAGAGAAGTTAACCAATTACAAAATTAATAGGTAGGGGGAAGAGTTAGAATTCAAACCCAGGCAGTGTAAGCTCAGAGCCTGTACTCTTTGTCACTATGCTGTGCTTCTTTCTTGTTCTTTGCCCTTTCTCTGTCTTCTTTCATTTTCTTCTGTTTCTTATTACCAGATGATTTAACAAGTAAAGTTTTATTGGTGCTGTATTTGTTTAATGGAGTCCTATGTCTGCTGTTGTTATTTTTCTAAATATATATGTATGACAGAGTAGAAAGAAAACATGGTTTTTGAGTAAGCAATCCTTAGCTGTCACTCACTACCTATGTAATTTAAGATTAACCATTTAACTGCCATGAATCTATTTTCTCATGTGTAGAACTGAAACAATAACATCTACCTCACTAGTGTGGTTGAAAACTACATGAACTAATGAATATTATACTTAATACTTTGTAATGGGAAACTAAATGTTCCAACACATTATTATTCCTCTCTGAAAATAAATGACAAAACTTGTGTTTTTACATATGCAGCCTCTTGAGGTTTTTTTCTTTTTTCTAAGTGAAAAATTCTGCAGTAATGAGGTAGAGAGAAGTAGGCAAATGTTGTCAAATGCTACTAATAAGTTTGACATGGATGTTGGCAACATATTCTATTCCCAGAATATGTGCATTTTCTTTCCTCTGTCTTTTCTTTCCATTTCTCTCTTCTGCTCTCCTGCCCAGCATTTAAGACAAAGCTCTCATTAACTTATTAGTCTTAGTAGAGACAAACAAATAATGTTGAAGAAGTACCTTACATAATGGTGGTTTTTCAAAAAAAGAAATCAAAATACTATCATCTCCAATCATAAAAGACTTTATTTCTGTATCTTCCTATACAGAGTACACAAGTAAAAATGATTA